AGAAGGTGACATGCGCTAAACAGCACCTGCTTAGATGTCTATTTACCAGAAATGAAGGGCCATGGCTAAACTGGACCAAACTCAGCAAACCGAAAAGGTCCATTCGCTTTGGGCCGGGGCATAGAAAGCTTCCGACAAAGTTTCAGGTCCTCCTCCCAGCTAGGTTGAAACAAGGATCATGGGGGCTGGGGGGGAGGGAGGAGCTTAAGGCCCTATTTAGGGCTTATTTGGGCTCCCCCTCCCCTCCCTCCCCCGCAAGCCCCATGAAAGGAACCCTAGGGAACACTCAGTTTGGCAACCTGCTAGTACCCAAGTAACTTAATGAGTACCCCGAAGTGGATTCACGCCAGTTTCCTGACAAAACCTTTAACTCTGGTCAGCGATTAACAGAAGGGTTTCAAATTCAGGAGAGCTGAGCGTACTTATTCAGCTCCTTGGTCTGAGAATTGCACTACTAAGGAAATACTAAGCCAGTGCTAAGCTAAACCACTACTATATAGCAATTGCTTGGTTGGACACTACTTGGCAGGGCCTCTGACCCCCAATTTACTTTAGCGGGTTCCTCAATTGACTCCCCTCAAAGTGACTCTTTGTTTGGGTTCCGCCTTTATAAATCAGTGATCCACATTAGCGCACAACTTGTGACTCATCGAGACCTCAAGGCACGCCTTCGGCCGAGGCTCGTCACCTCCCTCAATGCGCGCTTGGTGGAGCGGGGGTCTGACTTCGCGCCCAAGTTCTGCCGCACCAAGGAAGCCAACGGATGGTCCTCGGGTCCCAACCCCCTGGCCGCTAACCCCCTCTTTCCCTAGCTTCCTTAAAATTTGCCACAAAATGGCTGTAAGCTTGCAGCCGGCAGATAGCCCATGTACGCGGAATCTAGCTCAGGGCAACACCCAGTCAATATACAGAATCCGGATTCTTCGAGTAAAGCAGCAAACCCAGGAATACATTACCTATGCTCCACCCTTCAAAAAACATGTTGGCACAGCTCATCACGGCCCCGCAACTGAGCCACCCCCGGATCAACTGTGGGTATCTAGCATGCTTTGCCGTATCGGGGAGTCTTTGCGCTAGCAGGGTGCTTTGCCTTGTCAAGAGCCTACTTTGCTTTGTCGAAAGCCTAGCATACTACTTTTCTCAATTGGGGGTCTTTGCGCTAGCAGGGAGGCGGAGACCGAATGTATTCGATGGTTTCGTGGAAACCGTGCGCCGGATCTGCAACAAACATCTAAATGGGATCAAAAGGGCACACGTCAGAACTATTTCAGTGGAGACGATGGTGCCCCATTCTCCACAACCCCTATCCAAACATTTTTTTGGGGCTAGCTTAGGTCCGGTTTTCTCATTTAATCCAATATACTTCACAGATGTTGTCCTGTTATAATTGCATCCAACTGCCCCACGATGAATTGCAGGTTTGGTTGGCAAACACAAATTTGGGGTAATTCAACCCGTATCCCACCCCAATATAATTTGTGCGTAGGGGGTATGGTTTGAGGGTAGGTGGGAAGGGGTCGATGAGAAAGCTCGGGGTTCACAATTGGAAAATAATCAGGCATCTCGCTGAGTACCAAATCAAAATCGGTTGATGATAACCCATGGTTCCCCCAACTAATTGATTAATTAGGTGTTGTGCAGGTGTCTTGTTTATTACAATGCAACAGTTGAACCCCTTGCGATGCAGATTGGAGATTCGGAGGTGTACCCGGGGTAGCTTCCCAATTACCCTCAACAAAAAGCAGACAAATCCAAACCACCAACTAAGCAAAAAACCGGAGCACCCAGGTAGGTACTCCCACTTGCGAGCTTCTTCCATGTTTCCCCCAGGCCCTATGCGGCCTAAGGAGTCTCAGTGATTCGCTGTCAGGGCTCCTCAAAGCAATCAAGTCTAACATGCATTTGCTTAAGCCTTCAGGAACAGAGTATGTCCAGTAGTGATAGATGTCCTCTCAGAACGGGGGAACATAAAGCATATTATGAAGCAATGGAAGATAATTGTCGCTTTTCTTTGCTGAGTTGAAAGGCGGTTTCCCCCACCCCAAGAATCACAAAAACCCTGACCGTTTTCAGGGCTCAGCTTCCCAGGTGCCAATGCATTTTGTTGGTCCCCATTGAGCCCCGTACATTACCGGAACGCCCACAAATCATCATGGGTGCGCTACAAAAAAGGGAACCGCAAATTCTCCCCAAACACTGTAGGCAGCTTGTAGGACAATGACTGAACATGGTCCACACAGGGGAAAACCAAGATGTTAAACATTCGCTTTGGCAGGTGAGCATTTCGTTGCCTTCTTGACCAGGGCTTATCACGACGTTTGTCATATTTCCCGTACTTCCTCTCCATGTTTTTACCTATTAAACCCATGTTCACAGTATGGGCCATACAGGGCATACCCAGCGGAACGCACGTGATACGCACGTGGCGTACACAAGCTCAGGTGCGGGAGGCATGCTCGCAGTGGTGAGCCTCGCCGTCTCCTGAGGCCCCGAAACGGGTTGGTCAGGTGTGGCTTTTGGTCTAAGTCTTACTCACCAGCTGAGTGGATGGCCCAAAAACAAACTTTATATGTTCCACTAAAATGGTCTTCCCAAAAAGTCTAAAGTTCATGAACTCAGGAAGTGAGCTTAGGTGGGGGTTTTGGAGGTATGAGTCTTGGAGGTGTGGGCTATGGAGCATAACTTAGAGCAACCATATTCAGGATGCAAGCAGCACGTGCCCCTGAAACTGTATAGCACCTCCATCTATGACTGAGAATGCCCTTGTACAAGGAGAGATGGCTGGCGGCCGCGACTCAAGCAAGCAAGAAGGCTGGGGCCATGATTCCGATAAGGTAGTCTGGCAGTCTAATTTCCCAAAGAAGGTCCAGAATGGTCAACTCGCATTTCCGGGGGCAGTCCGTCTCACTACAGTGCGTGCTGCAAACACCGCAGCGTCTTGACCTGCCAACATATCGATCTGGCTCTGGGATCCACTCGAGGGGAGAAGGGGGTCCCGCAATGATTCAATCTCACATGCTGTCGATTCACAAGCCGCAAGAAGTGCTATGTAAATTCACAGTCCTAACACGACCGGGGGACAAACGACAACGGCCCTAGTATTTGTTCAACGCTTGCCCGTCCGTGTGACTGCCTGATCGTTTTACAGGGAGGGCCCCCCAAAGCCATCACAGGCCCAAAGTCCCACGATGAGGTGACTGCTGAACGTGGCTCGCTTGTTGCAACCGGGCTGTGCTCAGTGCGAAAGAAAGGAAGCAGCCCGTGACCCGTGACTTGATTCAGTTTTCACTTGCTCCACAGGTCTCCAGGCACTTATTCAGACCATGAAAGTAGGCAACTTACAGAAAGGTATCGCTATAGGACGCTTCAAACCGCCAACTGGCCTGATAGAAAAACACAGACTGAAGCCAGACCCTGCGAACAATCCCGTGATGGTTCCCCAAAAACATGCACCCACGAATCATGCCCACCAATGAAACGACCTATGAAAGGACTGAAAAGGACAGGCACCAAGGTTTTTGCAGTTTCCTTCCAATCCAAATGTCCCTAAAATGTGTCGAGAAAGGTGTCAAGGGATAATCCTAAACACACCACGGCTGAAATAGATGTGTTCCCCGACTCCAATCTTTGGGGTGACGGGGATAAAACATCTCGCACTTTACATCCCGCCAGAGAAAAAAAAAGCTCACTGTTGGTATTTACAGGGAAACACACAAAACAAAACAAGGACAACAACTTGCAGTAGGCCCGGAAGATCGGACAAGCCGGAACAAGAAACAACAACAACAAACAACACGGACCCCCGACCCCTTGGGGGCAACCCAACCCCAGATATGTTTTTGTTCGTACCCCTGGATTCGGGGGGTCAAAGCCCTCAAAGACGGCACCGGCTACTGCCTGATGGGTTTTTCGGTTCAAAACCGCGGGCTATCCTTCAGGTTCTCGTCCATGTCCTCCGGGTCCTCCGAGAGGTCGGAGGCCACCGCCTGGAGAGATCCCGGTTGAAAACCTGGAGAAAACCTAGAAAACCTGGGGAAAACCCAAGAAAACCTGGAGCAAACCAACAAAACCCCAGAAAAGTTTCCCCCCAGTTCCCTGTGCACCATTCAGCCATGGGAGTAGTGAGGGGCTGGAAACCAGCAGGCTTCAGCTGGTGCCCTGTGGAACCATTTGGCAAGCAAGCTGACCTAAAACCAGACACCAAGGTCTGTGGTCAACTTCGCCCCGCACCTGCGCCACCACCGCGGAACAGTGGAGGGCTCGGGCCTCCCTGCCCACAGCCTGAAGGCGAGTGTTCCCTTGTTTCCCATTGGATTTAGTTTGAAGACAGACCACTAAGAAAAATACTTTCTTAATTGTTCATGAGGAGGCCTTCTTATTTGAAGACATACCACGACCAAAGTATGTAACCTTTTGTCTTCATGAGGAGAACAAAGTAAGGCCACGTAAGTCACACGGTGGGAAATGTGGAGCCGGCAAGGTCACCACTTAGTAATGAATCAAAGCATGACTACACGGATGGACAAAATCCAATTCACACTGGCTATTTATGAGTTCCGGAAAATACTCGGACAAACCATCTATCAACTGCAGGATTTGCTGTCGTGAAGGGGGTCCTGAGGGTCAAGAAGTACGCCAGGAACGATGGACAAAACCAAAGAATAAAATCAACCAGCACACATCAGGCGGAGGGGTTTGGATTCCAGCCTGCTGTAAGAGTCAGCTCGAGCACTTTAAAGGCGCCTGAAAAGTGTGTTGGTGCCCTTTGACCAGCTGGGGAACAACATGTGCTTCGCTTTTCGGAAAAGCTGATGCATGTTTGAACACCAAACCCCGCCTAACCCCACCCCGCACCTAAGGGCTGTTGAATGCAAAGGTTCACGGAGGACGGAGCGTCACAACTGTTTCTACTTAAGATTATGTGATTCGGGCACGAGCCTGTGCCCAGGCAATGGGTAAGTTGGGGTAAACAAGCCACAAAAGAAAGGTTCCCCAAAAGCAAACCAATCCCCGGTCCCAAAGATCAGGGTTTCCCACACACCAGAGAACAACAACCAAAGGAAAACAAACCAAACAAGAAAAGGGTTAACCCGCAACCTTGGTCGACAACAGGCCGCACGACTGGTCCCTACCAACCTGGCGGCGGCCCGAGGTCTCTTTCTCCCCCGAGATGCCGTCGGTCGACGCAGGGGTTCGGCGACGCCCATAGGCGCGACGGAACCCAAAACTTGAGCCAAAACACTCTTTCTCCCCCGAGATGCCGTCGGTCGACGCAGGGGTTCGGCGACGCCCATAGGCGCGACGGAACCCAAAACTTGAGCCAAAACACCACAGGTCGGTCACTAACGCGACATCCCTGATGATGATATTAACCATGGCTAATCACACCCCCCTCACGAGGAGCCCGTCCTATGACGGGTGGAGCGTGCCATTTACTGATAGGATTTAACTGCTCGCATGTGTCCGCAAACAGCTGGACACTACCGCCGTCAGCGGTGGAGCAAACCCACAAAGGCAGTTGCGCGACATCCCGGGCATTAAATTCCCGCCACCACCCCGAATTAATCGGGGTAACGCTGTCCAACACACCTTGTGGAAGAGTCCACATGACGGCACTAGGCCACAACTGTTTGCATCAACAATGCAAGAAGTTTAATTCTTATCAGAAGCCATGAAAAGAAGATAACGTATGTCCATTTAGTACCCTCGCCTAACGGCAAGAGGTACTCCTGACCATGCGTACCTGAAAAATGCTTGAATTCCGCAAACCCGGGAGTAACCCCCCATCAGTTTGCTTTCCCTCTCACTCATACTGCTTCCTGATGAACACGTCCAGCAGCCCAGCAGCGGTATGGGAGAGACATGACCTCCGCGCCTCAGCGGTCCGGGAGGAACATCACCACCTCCGCACCGCGCCGACCATTGGAGAATGGACGCAAGCCTATCGGCCGCAACCCTCGTGACTCAGCCTACCGGCTATCGTCACGTCTCCTCCGGTCACGTCCGCCCCGCGCACGGTCCCTATCACGATCCCTTTCGGATCTCCTGCGATCATCTCGCCTTCGATCCCGCTCCCGATCGAGTGAATCATCATCACGACGATCACGAGCATCGTCCCTCCTCCTGTCGCGATCATCCTCGCGCCGCGGACGATATCTGCGCCTCCTCGACTCTCTGGAATCTCTGGTGTCCACGGTCCTAACGGACCTCCGAGAAGGAGTACGGGAAATATCCGATTCCCTACGCCTCCTCCCAGATTGAGAGTTCGTCACGATCTGGTTGAGAGCTTCCAGTGCCGACGCGTCCTCACCATTTCTGATGAAATCCCTAACCTGCCTGTTCAGCACTCTGTTGGTGGAGATCGTCAAGAAAGCGTCCACCACCGAACTCTCAGGCAGCACCAGGAAGTGACCCTCCACCGGGCTCGCCGCAGCCCGCTCAGCAGACTGCAGCCGGATCTCCCCGCCTACAGGCTTCTTTGCCATCGCCTTGGAGGCAGTCAAAGGCGCTACCGCATCCTTTGCCGAAGATCTGCCAAGCGCGGAGTGAAGATCATCCCCGCTAGCTTCTCTCGCTGCCGCACCTGGTCTGCTGTCGACGTCGCCAGGCCTCGTGGATGCCTCCCGCTTTGTCGACTCCTTCGCAGCCTCGTCGGGATCCCAACGGGACTTCCTTTCTCTCTTCTGCCCTTCGGCCGACCCGCGGCTACCGCCGGGAGCGTCACCTCCGCCTGTCTTCTCCTTCTTGACCTCAACCTTCGGTTCGGCCTGCTTCGTCTCCTTAGCCACAGCTTTTGGAGCCGGAGCACTCCTCGCCTCAGATGCCGAAGCAGCCTTCCCTTTCGGCTCTGCCTTAGGAACCGGGGTCACTTTAGCCTTGGCACTCGGCCTGGCCCCTTCAACCACCATCTCGGCCCAAGACTTCTTCGGCTGAGCTGCTGCTGCATCAACCTCCATCGGAGCAGGTCCAGCGTCATCCTTCGCCTTTGGGACGGATGGGCTACCGCCCTTACCGGATCCTTTACCCGGCACTTCACCTGATTTTGGTGGCGGGCCGGAAGGACTACCGCCCTTACCGCCCTTTTCCCCCTTTTTCCCTTTTCCTTTTCCGCCCTTGGGGACCGGCTCCTGCTTGGGACCAGGACCCGGCGCAGCATGATGCACCGATTGGAGTCCCTCGATGTCCACGTTCAAAGGTTCGGGTTGACGACCGTCAAGAACCGTCCTCCCCCTTTCGTCACTAACGTAGACGAACGGGTCACGGAAGGGTGCGGGAGGCTCCGACTGTCCGGCGCTGATCGCCTTCTGCACCTTGGCTATCGCCTCCTTCAACCTCTTCTTCTCCTCGTACCCCGTCTCCGATACCATGTACTTCCTGAGCTGCGAAATCAACGCATGACTCTCCAGGATGTCCACGTCCTTTCGATGGGTCGGGTACAATGGGGTCAGATGACCAGCCGCAGAACCAATCACGTATGCCATCGGAATATAGAATGACAAGTACGTGTCATGACGAGCGAACGTCCTAACGGAAGTCGTCATACGCCTACCCCACTGAGCAGCGTGTCTTGGGTTGGCCCGGAAGTACTCCGTGACCGACTCAAATCTATCGACTTGGTTGGGCTTGATCAGGTGCTTCGCCACCCACTTCTCCACAAACGCATCCGAGGCCGAAATCCCGGACACATAGGAGAATTGGAAGAGCACCTTCGCCAGCTCATCCCACGCCGCATCGACACCTCCCGTGTCTTCACCAAGATAAGGGGGAAGTCTGATGCCGCTCTGCACCGTCATCCTTAGATCGGATGCCATCGAATAGGAAATCAAATTCCTCTTGATGACTCCGACCACTTCGGAGGGAATTCTCCTGGGCTTGAACTGCCCATGGTCCTCACCCACTCCGGCACGATGTGGCACGTTTCGAAGTCCTTTTCCTCCGCGTTGGGGATAAAGTTCGGGTAAAAGACCGGGAGCGCGCACCCGGGACACAAGTGCATCCCATTCGGCATCAATTCCGCGCACCTCAAACAGAACGTGGCAGTCACATTCAGCCTGACCTCTTCCCGTGATCGCTTGTGCTCTCCCCTAACGGGGGTGAAGTCACCGTAGTCCCATGCCCGATGGTACACTATCGTGTAATCATCGTACATATACGCCGCCTTCCAAGCCCCCATGTGGATCTCGTTCCTAACGGCATGAGTCTTCCTTCTCGTCAAAAACGGCGCGGGTCCAACCAAGGTCCTTCACGTCAAAAACACGGGTCCAACCAAGGACCAGTGCACCCGAAGATCCACCATTACCACCACGTACCTACCGGAGTAGTTCCGCAGCCTGTCCCTGACATACCACGAAGGCGATACCTCAGCATCCGGCGCCATGGCTCCCACAAGTGGGATCAGGCCCTCATCCTGCCTACCATCCCCAATGGTCTCGTACACATCGGGCCTCGTGATCAATATCTCGATCATGGCCTTTCCATTTCGCCTCACCCTTTGGAGCTGAACCGCCTTCCGAAAGTCCGAGAACTTCATGATGACGTATCCCACCATGGGGAGTTCATTCCAATGCATCTCATACATTAGAGATCCGCCAGGTGCATCTTCCTGAGTATACCTGTGCCTAACGGCACTGTAACTCAAGTCGCGTCCGATCCGCGTGTGCCTAACGGCAACCAACCTGGTGCTCTCCTTGAGGAGAACGCCATCCCCGTCGTACATGACCATGAGCATCGCCTCCACTTGCCCTATCGGGAAAGCTTTAGCGTCGGAATGAAGAACTTCCAAGACATCTCAGCGTTCTCCATACCCGAAATCTCCTTCAGGAACCAGATGGCCTGGTCACTTTTCACCCAGTTTCCAGCCTCGCGTCCGGTCTCCTTCAGCACACGTTCCTCGAATAACTCCGAGACTCTCTTTGAATTGATGACCAAGCCGTCGAAATCGCACGAGAGCAGTCTCATCAACTCCTTCGCCGCCTCCCGTCCTGCAACAGTGCCCACGGTCTCCTCGTAGTTCGGGAGGTATTCACCCAACCTCGTCTTCGAGGGAACCACAATCTGGCAAGTGACGGCCTCATCAGGGATAACTCCCGTTTCCCTTAACTCCGGATTGATCTCTCGCCTATCGGCAAGATAATCCTCCTTCCCATCCAGTATCACAAGATTGTAGGTCATTGTCAAGAGACGGCAAGGTGACGTCCCGTGGGACGCTATGCACCGAACCCTCAAGCTGTAATACCAACCACGTAGAAAGGTGTATACGGACGATGCCGTTATAGCCGAAC